AATTATATTTTCATTTATATATTATACTAATGGATTAGTTTATTGGTCACCGAATCAGAAATCAATGATAGAACAGAAAATATCTTAAAGATTAATTAAAAGTTTTCCATGATATGGCGCCATTTGAGATTTGGTAACTTTCTATAAAAGGCTTTAAATAAATTGTTAACTTTCCATAGATTTTTCAATGAAAGTTGTTTGAGATTTATGAACTTTCTAGAAAAGCTATTATTTAAAATCTCAAGTGGCTTTCATGGAAAAGTCAACAAATGACAAAATGGTTTTTTTTTTTTTTGGAAAGAAGAGGGAAAATATAAGGGGTTTTGTAGCAATTTGATATGGTGGTGTAGGGTATACCTGTGAATCCTGATATAAGTGTAGGTATTTTAAGGATTCCTTGTGAAATCCACAGTGATAAATGAGAGCACCATAATCTGTAGTTCCATACAATCAGCTTCAAGAATAATAAGCCGCTAACATGCTGTTCAAGAAAAAAAACAAATCACACTATTATAAATTACATGTATCAAACTACAGATGAAAGTAATACAACATATCCATAGAAACCAATATACCACAGTGACTACTTTTGTAATTTATTCTAGAAAGAAACAGTGGTATGAATGCCTAGACCTTAAAAAACAGAAATTCCCTTTTTAGGAAGGGTGAAATGTGATGAAAAATGGCATATATCTACAAGTGACATACCTTCTCCAATTCTTGTTGGTATAAATCTGTTCGATAATATGCAGTTGACAACAGTAAATTTGGATTAAATGAGCCAAACAGACTGCAAAACAACAAAGAAAAATGAAGTCAAATAGGGCGAGAAAACTTTAACAGGTTTTTCCAAATGCAAATTTTTTTTATACGTGATTAATGATGCATTGTCATACATATTGAGCCTCTCAAAGAAAGCTAACGTATAAAATTTGAATCGATCCACAACAGAGACACCAACCTATATGTATCACAATAATCTCTACAGAATTAGCAAGAGAAGCAAAAGAAATCGTGGAGTATTCCTGTATATCAAATTACAAAATTTTGAAGTTGATAGAATCCAGATAATACTCACATCAGAATCTAAGTGATGTGAATATGAGTTTTCCCCTTTCATGCTACTCCCAATAGCTAAAACACCAGGTGAATGGAGCTGAAAATAAAGAAAATATCCACACTGTTTTAGGATTCTCAATAAATTTATGTTTTCATTATTTCAATGCTTTAGGTAAGAAAAGGATCCAGACATGGGAAAAGAGGGTAGCAGCTTGACATATATCTACCATAATCAACAGTTCCTTGAACCTAAAAACATGAACACATAAGAGAACAAGTAAGTTATAATTCCACAACCAATGACAGATGAGATAACATTAAAAATGGGTTCTGACCTACGCTGTTCTTTCATCTGTTTGATTGCATCAGCCAAATCATGACTCTCAAGTTCATCAGAGTCTTGAAATTTCAGAAACTCATCTCCTCCATGTCCTGTCATGTATAGCAGTATATGGCTTCCTTCACCACTCAAAAGACGTTTGGATCTTGGAATAGCATTTTCATGGCGACCTGTTAAAACTCTCAAAAAGTTCTGAACTGCCACTTCATAGCCTCGATAGTCTACCTGACATAACAGTGTACTAAAATCAGCACATATTCTCTAAAAACAGCTATGTAAATAAGTAAAGGGCTGTAGAAATTAATTGGACACAAAAATTGACCTCAACATTATCTCCATACAAGTTAAGCCTATGGTTTTCGTTGTTGAAAACTTGTGCAGGGTATTTGTTTCGGGAATTGCAAGCCATGTCATCTGCTAACATAAGAATGATCCTCTCATCAGGTATCCCTAATCGTTTCACAGTCCTAAACAAGAAGATTAAGAGAAAGAATGACATACAATTGTCAATAGAGCGTAAAGAAGATCAAGTTTTGTTAATCGGGAAGCGAATGGGATGATTACTGGGATTTCGGGTTGGCTCATGTAATTCAACGCCATGGAAGTTAAAAGAGGAGGGAATTTCAGTCCGGCGTAGTTTTCAGGTTGATCGCTGAAAGCGCCACCGCCGAATTCTTGTAATTTCACTGCGTGGTTGAAGAAATCGGAAAGGTTTGTGAGGTCGCATTCGCTGATTTTCACTGATAGTAACGATTCGCTGCAGTTTTTTGCGATGAGTTCTAGATCTTTGAAATCGAACTTAACCAGATTTGTCATGTAGAAGTTTAACGATTTCATGGCTGTGTTACGCAAAGCTAGCTCATGTAACCATTCGCCGTCCTTTTCGACGATTAAGCTCTCTTGTAGATACATAATTCTCAAATTGTTACACCGCTTACCGATTTGGAGTAATCCGTCTGTTGAAAACCTGAGCACAAATCAAGCTTCAAAACCCTAAGTTCTTTACCACGGGTTCGGGTTAATAAATCGATATCGGAATCACGAACAATCATTCACCGGAAATGGATAGATTTCAAGCA